TGCCTCTTGGCCAGGACTCCCTTGAAAAAGAGGTTTTTAATCTCAATGGGACTTTCCTGGTTAAATAAAGGAAATAAATAAATAAATAAATAAATTCTTAAATTCAAGCTATTAATAAAAACAAGATCTCAAAAGTCATCTTCAACAATTTAATATTTTCTTTTGATTTTAAAATGAAGAAAATAGCTTTTTTCCAGTGACACGTTTCTCTGTTTTAATCCAAATGTTGATCATGTTGGAATGCTGGATTGCTGTTTCGACAGAAAGACTTTACTACCAATTTCGGTGTCAAGAAAAATAGTGTGAAATATGTCTCGCTTCTGGAAGGTGGATCATCTGGCTCAGCTCACCAAAGAGCACCAGCTGTTTCAGCTCACAAAAAGCTGGCAATTTTTTTAAAGTTCAGTCAAACCATTCAGATCCCCCCCCCCCCCCCCCCACACACACACACACACAAATGGATTCCCAGTCACTATAAGAAGATAATTCGAAATGAGGAAAATTAAGCAATTTATTTTCAATACCATATTGTGAACATTTATTTTATTTTTTATTGTAATGAAAAATTATTACACAGTGTTTTGTTTTGTTTTGTTTTGTTTTTTTGCAAACTAAAAGTTTGCATTTGTAAAACAAATGGATTGTCTTAAGTTTGTCTTCATAGTTTGTGTGTTAGTTTAGCCTATTCATAAACTGTCCAAACCCCTAAACCCAGCGCTGATTGAAGTCTCTTAAGAAAATATCTCAAATATGATTTGCTGTTTGTTATTTCAAGGTATTCTCAGTATGGTGGCTTAAGTATTAATATGTGGCATTATTAGGTTAGTCAGGCAAGTCAGGTTATTCAACATTTTAAGGTGTGTGTAGGTTGGGCAGGTAAGTGACTTCTGATGACGTATTACTGTATGAAATGTCAACAGACTTTAAACGCAAGCTTAAATGTTCAGAATAAAAGTGGAGACAAGTTTGGTAAAACTCTGCTTAATCCGTTCATCTTCGCACTAATATCTTCGTTAAGTTCGTATATAATGTAATGTAAATAATATAATCTAGTTTTTCTATATTATCTATGGTTAAGTTGCAATAAATCGAGTTTTCAAAGCGCTTCCGGTAAAACCTTTCAAAATAAATAGAAACATTTTTAAACCTAATTTGTTTTACTCATTATTTTGTATTTATTATTGCATGTTTACGTTTGTAAATGGGAACACTATATTTTGGTGGGAAAAGTGAGTTAGTTGGGTTTTTTTTTTTTCGAGCTCAAAAG